CTATTATGGCTTATACTGTGTACCATACTGTGTATGTTTGTCTCCTGTTATTTTGTGGTATGTGTGAGGTATAGCAGAGTCTTTTTTCCTAATGTGGTTTATGGGACCAGGATCCTCATACTGTGGATGGACTGTATATTATGCATACATGAAGCTACCTGAACTACATACATTAGAAACTAACAAAAAAACACAAGATGAAGTGAACAAAGTTAGTCAATCTTTTTTGAGGTATATAACCACTTCTGTTTTTGAAAATATACATATTTTAAATTGGCAAACCAGGGTTTGGTGTATTTCTGCAGTTAAGTCATATGGTACAGGAGAGTAACTGTGAATGCTCCTGTGTGCTGGAACCCAGCACAGGGCTCAGGGCTGGCACTAGTCTCTCTTGTGCTGGTCAAACTAACAGTTGCCACCACCTGATGGTTACAATGGGCTGCTTGTTTTCTTTTCACCATCAGGCAGCTCAGAAATGCTGTCATTGAGAGTAGGCCCCACTAAATGGTCATGGGCTTATCAAGATCTTCAGTCAGTCGTCTTTTGCCCTCAGGTTCCTCAACTGTACAAAATTAAGGGGTATCAGCCATTCTGTGTCCAGAGGTCTTCAACAAGTTACAGACCTCAAAAGCTTGCTCGAGCCCTGAGGCAAGGAGCTGAGGTAATTCATCCCCACCTTCAGGAATTTGCTCTCCCTTTTCCCCTTTTTTTCTGGCATCAAGACTGACACGCTCACTGCTTTTGGTCCTTACACAGGATGAAGCCACCACCATCATCGCCCTGCCAAAGCAGGACGCCACCCCTCAGTTCCCTGACAAGATCTCAGTCTTGAGCATGAAACCACCTGAGGCTTTAGCCGTGTCTCCAGATTATGACCCACTTTATATTTTTGTAAGTGAAAATTGGCAAAATTCTTGTGTCCTATGTTTCTTTATTTCAGCAGACACTTTATAAGAAAACAGAAGAATCAATTGGGAATATTTTTCTCTCTTTGGAATTTCAAGGTTTAAACAATATCTCATCTTTGAAATTGTTTGCCAGCATGTATTACTTGGAGAATACCAAGGTTTCTGTCTTTTAACAATTCAAGCATTTATTTTTATGACAATAGCTTTGTGATCTTTTCTAATTATATATATATATATATATATATATATATATATATATATGATGTCTTTTAAAAAGAGAAAGAAAAAAACACGACAAGAAGAGAAAATAAAATTACCCCCAACCCCCCCATCACTCAGAGCTCTGTTGATTCTTTATTCCATCCTTGGGCAGTGTAACCCTTCCATACTCATGCCTCTGCTTCCCAGATTTCCCTGTTNAATCTAAAATCAGGATGTTAGCAGGGCTAGTTCCTTCAAGAGGCTTCAGTGGAGAGTGTGTCCTGGATTTTTCCAGCTTCTAGAGGCTGCTTGCCTGCCTTAGCTTGTGGCCACTTCCTCACGTCACTCTGACCTCTTGCTTCAGTCATCATGTCTTCTTCTCTGATTCTGAACCTCCCGCCTCCCTTGTGTATGGATCCTATGATGACACTGGGCCCACCTGGAGAACCCAGGACACTCTCCCCATCTCAAGCTCCTTAATCACATCTGCAAAGTCCCTTTTACCATACAAGGTGACATAGTCACAGGTTCTGGGGAGTAGAAAATAGACATCTTTGGGGGGCCGTCACTCAACCTATCACATGACATAAATCAGACCTCCACACCAGGCTTGGCTGAAATACTTGCCCAGTTGATAATAAGCAAGGCTGACTGACCTGACTAAGTTGTAATGTCTGTGAAGTCTGGCTATGGTTCAACCTCCTGTTTTGTGCCCTCTCTTCTCTTTCATCACCAGAGAGGCTAAGATAGTTGGGACTTGCACTTGTTGATGGATTGGCTGGATCTGGTGTTATCTCACCCTAGCGTTTGCACATAAAGCTTTTATCTCATATTATCTTTCCTATTTAAAGGAATTCCAATCCTCGGATCCTCAGGTTGACTGGGGCTGTTGGAGACCTACTCTCAGTTGCTTCTGGGAGCCCAGCAGCCATACCACCGTCTTCCCTCCAAATATGTATTTCCAATGTGTGGCGCATATGCAGATCCATAGGCAGGCCCTGGTCCTTCCAGACCCTTCCTCCCTTCCTGAACCCGAGCTCCTGAGCCTGGCTCAGGCTTCCCTGTCCTCCTCGAGGAGCAACTTTTTGGAAGTAAAAATAAAATAAAATTTTAAAACAATTGGAGAAGAGGTTGAGGTAAAGAACAAAGTAGACACTAAAAATAGGACTATATGTATACATACGTAGATACTCTTTGAAATGGTATATGGCAGGTACCCACTAAATGGGGTATGGCAAATATACAACTGAAGATGGTGGTTTCACATAAAAAATACCTTAAGAACCCCCCAAAAGTGCTGTTTTGTTTTTCCCTCATAGGCAAGAATCCCTCCAAATTCCAGCCACTGGATATCAGTCAAGACGATTATTCCTGCCGGTTCTCTGTGTCGCCCAGTCAAGTGCTGCCCTTCGCCTTCCCGTCCCACAGTCCTCCCCAGGCCTCCGATGAATTGGTGGGTGCTGTTGGGCTGTGGGGTAGGGGCCAGGCATGATCAGATGGTCATTAGACAGATTCCGAGGCAAGCCCTACCTCGGTCTCAGTCCCTTTGCTTCCTCCTAAGAGACTCCCAGGGGAGACCTACGCCGAGGGAATTGTGACCAATGGGAAACCAGGGTCATCTACTGCCCCCTCCCTGGCACCTGAAATACCTGTGCAGAGCTTCCTGATAGTCTGGGCTGGGTCCTGCCCAGCCTGGAACCCGGCAAGAGAGCTGAGCCCCACATGACTGCCCAGGAATTGAGCCTNACAAAGCTGTGCTCTGAGGGAGAGGAGCACAGCTGTCACCAGTGGGTGAACAATAGTAAGAGACGGGCCAGGCTGGCTTCCCACTAGTGGGACTACCCAGCCCTTTGGGAAGGAGCCCACCAGGGTGAGAAAAGCATTGTCAGCAGTTACGTGCTCTGCTCTGAGTGATGGCTCATTCTTTTCCTCGCACACCCCTGCAAGTTCCTTCAGTTCAATACAATACGTTCCCAGCCTCATGACTTCCTGCCATCTCCCCAGCTCGGTCACAGCCCTGTCATCTCCTGTCTGAACCACTGCAGCCGGCGTCCCTGCTTCCCATCCCCAGGCAGTAACCAGAGTAGGATCCCATAGCTGCAAGATGGTACCTCTCTCTGGTAAAACCTTTCAAAGGCTTCCCATTGCAGTTAGAGTCCAATGCACAATTTTTATCAAGGCTACAAGGCCATTCGGGATTTCTCTCTGTCCCTTTAACGAGTCTCCTTTGTGCCTCAATCAGGATCTTTGTATTTGCTGGTTCCTTTCCTCAGAAACCTCTTCCCAAGATCATTGTCTCCTCATCATTTAAGTCTCAGATCAAACCTCAACCTCGGAAAGTTCTTTCCTAGTTGTCCTTGCATAAATGGCCAGGCCACCCTCCTCCTAGCCCCTGAGTCATGTCCTCATGCATTTTACTCTCTTTCATTTTCTCCATGGTATTTATCTTCTTTATTTGTTTAAGTGTTACTGTCATCCACCGCACCCGCGCCTTGGAACATCAACTCCATGCAGGCCGACATTTGTTTGTTCCCAGTGCATCCCCTGTACCTTGCAAAGAACTGGCCACAGAGTAGCCCCTTCATAATATCTGTTAAATGAAAGAGTCCTTTACAGGATAGAAAGGAGTGTTACTTGTGGAATGAATGGTCCCTTTAGCTGCAGCACTGTGCACAGATAGCACTCGCTTTTAGTAGCATTTGTTCTGAATGCTAAGCACAGTGATGTACAGTTAGCATTGCTCATGACCCACAGCTCTATTTCTACAGAATTGTCTGTTTAGTTTGTCTTCCAACTCTGAAAATAACACAGCAGGAAGAGTACGCCTCAAATATAATGAAAAGGAAGAATATAGAAATAGTCATTCTTCCCACTCTGGAAATGTGAGAAAACTGGGTCTCGTAAATTGGGTGGGACAAGGCTAGATGACAGACAACCGGTCTTTCTTTGTATTCAGGCAAGTCCACATTGCCCTGACCTTGAACTCCCTGTGGCCTTGGTGTAGGGCAGCATGCTCCTCTGCTGGTGAATTCTGACAGAGCGGTAGCATTAGTCCTTAGCTGTGGTTGGAGAAAGTGAATTATATTGAATGCCAAACTGAGCATGTGCCGGGCAATCATTTGAAATCATTATTCTTTCTAATTCCAGGTCATGGTTCATCGACGATTACTCAAAATGCTAGATGCTATTCGTGACATGGACCGAGAGACCATAGT